GCAGCTCCCCCCATGGCACCTGCCCTGCTCCCAGCCTTGTCCGAGTGCCTTGGGCCCTCACCAAGTTCTCATCAATCACAGGGCCCCTGGTGCCCAGAATCTCCACCTTACCCTCACTCTCCCTCACCCAGGGCGTCCCTCCTCTTCTGTCTTTACCTTAACCCAAGGTGGGGGGCGGGGTCACCCCTGAGCCATGCTCATCCCTTGCCCCTCAATCCCAGGCCCTCACCACATCTCCTTTGCAGTCTCTTCCCTTCCCACAGTAGGAATACTGCCCTTGGTCCACTGCCCACCTCCTTAGCCTTCATCACCCTCTCTTTGGTTCCTCGACCCCAGTGGGCTCTCACTATCTCAGTCTTGTATCCAAAATCCTTGTTTATGCCACTTTATCAGCAGGCCTTTCCTACAAGGAGTCTTCTCCCAGGCCCCCACCCCTGCTTGTTGGATGCCTGACCCTGACCCTCCCTGGAGGTGTGATGTCACTCCCTCCAACCCCTCCCACCACGTAGGTGCTTCCCAGTGTGCACCTTGGCTTTAAGTTCTATCTTCTCTTGCCACCCTACTCCTAATTCTCCATGATCCTTGTGCACATAGACTGACTCCTCCCAGGGGACACCCCCCACCAGGGTCCTCACCAGGCCTCTGTGCACTCTGGGCCCAGACCCACTCCTTCACCTCCCCCAGGTTACTGGCCCACCTTCATCTCTCTTGGGGCCACAGCCCAGCCCCTCAGGCCCCTCTGCCTCCTGCCTCACCCTCCCTGGAGCCCCCCTTGTCCATGATGAGCCTGCACCAGGGGCGGCAGCTCTCCATCTCACCTGACCCCTTTGACCAGGGATCCCTCTGGTCCTAGATCTGACACTGCCCTTCCCTCCCTCTGACTCCACCTCCCCTCTCCCTCTTCCTGCCTCTCCCCTTGCCCCCCTGCCTGGACCCTTAGGGAGCCAAGGCCTCCCTGTCCTGGCACTTGTCCTACATGTGTGTCCATCTCCACCCTCTCCCTCCACTCCTCCATTCCCCTCTCCCTCCTTCTCTTTCCCATTTTTCCTGTATGGAAATCCTCATTCTGGTCCCTTGAACACATGCTTGTTCTGCATCCTCAGCACCTGGAGTAGGTCAGGACACAGAACTTCTCTGTTAAACATCTGATGTGCACTTGTCTCCAGAAAGCAGCTTCATCTGCGGTTCCTCCTTCCCCAGGATCCCACAGTCTTTCTTACAACGCTACAGTGCTGTCCTGGGATGGCTTTGTTCAGGCCAGATTTTTTGCTATGGGATACCTGGATGGTCAGGCCTTCGTGCACTTTGATGACACAAAGTGGAGGGCAGAGCCCCAGGGACAGTGGGCTGAAAGGCTGGGAGCAGAGACATGGGAGACAGAGTCCAAGGACTTGAACGAGGCATGTAAGGAGCTCAGAAAACTTCTAGCAGAAATCCTGTCCCTGCAGAAGGAGAAAAGAGGTGAGAGGGCAGAGGGGGCGAGAGTGCTGTGGGCTATTTTCGAAGAGGGTCTGCAGTCCAGAGCACGGGCCTCTTTCCTCTGAATTTGGGGATGGGGGTGGGGATGAGGAATAGGGGTCTGTGAGTTCAGCAGCACAGGGAAGACATGGCGGGGAACAGGGGGGAGCCCTCTATCTGGACTTTCTCACTTGGGTGGGAGAACAGAGGCCCTCGGGACCAGAGGAGTCACTGCTTGGGGGGTGGGGATGGGGCAGGCTTACATTCCCTCCAGGAGACTGTGGGCTGTGAGATCCGTGAAGACAGCCGCGCCCGGGGCTTCAGGCTTCTCCACTTCGATGGGGAGCTCCTCCTCTCCTGTTACCCGGAGGCCCACGGATGTGCCCTGCCCCAGTCCTTGGCTCGGACCTTGGCCATGGAAATGGAGAAGTCCTGGGACACAGACGGCTTTCTAAGCAAGCATTACCGGGCCCACGTGCAGGGAGAACTTTGTGGAAGACTGCGGGGCTACCTGGAATCCTGGACGGGCTTCATGGAGAGGACAGGTACTGACCCTGGGCCAGGCCCTTCCTCTGCCCCGATCTTAAAGCCTCCCATCCCGACTTGCCCACGGAGACCCTCCCTGTCCTCTGGGCGCATATGTGGTCTGTTGGCATGGTGTCCTGGGGTTTCTTTCCTGTTCTGTTAAATCCACTGTAGAAAGATGGGTGGGGCGGGGGGGAATGAACTGCTTCTGTGACAATCGTCCAGGGGAGCAGCGGGTCCTCTGATAGAAACTGTACGAGGGGAGGTGGGTGTCAGGCAGCAGAGGAGGCCCTTAGATGGGGGTGGGCCCCTGGCTCCCAGCCTGCCTGATCCAGAAAATTCCCTCTAGTCCCCAGGAGCCCACCCTTCACAGCCCCCTCCCCAGCATCAACAGTGGATCCAAGAGAGTGAGGCCCATCCCACCCCTCCCCTTCCCCACCAGAGGACTTGGGCCCAGGGTGCAGAACAGACTTGGAGCAGGCCTGGGGGGATGAGGGCTCAGCCAGAGGTGACAGTGAGAAGGAGCAGCCCTGTGCACCCCGTCTTCCTTCAAGGGAGCAGGGCTTGGCCGTGGGCCTCACTGGCTCTGTGCTTTCTCCCCACAGTGCCGCCAGCCGTGAATGTGACCCGCAGCCAGGACTCGGAGGGCATGGTCCACCTCACATGCAAGGCTTTTGGCTTCTTTCCCCCGAATATCTCAGTGACCTGGTTTCGGGATGAGGAACCCATGAGCCGGGACACCCTGGAGTCTGAGGGTGTCCTGCCTGATGGGAACGGGACCTACTATACCTGGGAAACCATAATAATTCCCCAAGGAGAGGAGCAGCGGGTCAAGTGCCTTGTGGGACACAGTGGGAATCACAGTACACACCTCGCACCCTTGGGTGAGACTGGGGTGAGCCTGGAGGGCGTTGTGACCCTGGGAGGGTCAGAGGCCAGGGTCAGGGAGAGGAGAGCAGGTTGTGGCTCTGGGGTGCCCGGGTTGTATATAATAAGGTCCTTTTTCAGGAAACATCCTAGTGCACCAGAGATCATGGTGGATCATTGTGAGCACTGTTGTTGCTGCTCTTGCTGTTGCTATCATCGGATTTTGTGTCTATATGTATATTAACAGGATGACAGCATCAGCTACAGCAAGGCCAGGTGAGAAATATGGGCGGGGGTGCTCTGGGTGAGATTCGGCAGCGATGAGGATTTCGGCTCCCTGCTCTGTTCTCAGCTCTCTTTGTTTTCTGTCAGGCTCACCGGGGCTTGTCTGTGGACCATGTGTTGGATGATGTGCTGGTTGGGAGGGTCTAGGTGATCCAGGAACCAGAGAGAACCTTTAGTGAAGTGTCTGTACCTGGTGAGGAGGGGATAAAAACCTGAAGAGGAATTCAGAGGAAACGTGATGACCTAAGTGCCTGTCTGAATTTCTCCCCCCGGATTTTCAGTCATTATTAGCCTGCCTGATCCAGAAAATTCCCTCTAGTCCCCAGGAGCCCACCCTTCACAGCCCCCTCCCCAGCATCAACAGTGGATCCAAGAGAGTGAGGCCCATCCCACCCCTCCCCTTCCCCACCAGAGGACTTGGGCCCAGGGTGCAGAACAGACTTGGAGCAGGCCTGGGGGGATGAGGGCTCAGCCAGAGGTGACAGTGAGAAGGAGCAGCCCTGTGCACCCCGTCTTCCTTCAAGGGAGCAGGGCTTGGCCGTGGGCCTCACTGGCTCTGTGCTTTCTCCCCACAGTGCCGCCAGCCGTGAATGTGACCCGCAGCCAGGACTCGGAGGGCATGGTCCACCTCACATGCAAGGCTTTTGGCTTCTTTCCCCCGAATATCTCAGTGACCTGGTTTCGGGATGAGGAACCCATGAGCCGGGACACCCTGGAGTCTGAGGGTGTCCTGCCTGATGGGAACGGGACCTACTATACCTGGGAAACCATAATAATTCCCCAAGGAGAGGAGCAGCGGGTCAAGTGCCTTGTGGGACACAGTGGGAATCACAGTACACACCTCGCACCCTTGGGTGAGACTGGGGTGAGCCTGGAGGGCGTTGTGACCCTGGGAGGGTCAGAGGCCAGGGTCAGGGAGAGGAGAGCAGGTTGTGGCTCTGGGGTGCCCGGGTTGTATATAATAAGGTCCTTTTTCAGGAAACATCCTAGTGCACCAGAGATCATGGTGGATCATTGTGAGCACTGTTGTTGCTGCTCTTGCTGTTGCTATCATCGGATTTTGTGTCTATATGTATATTAACAGGATGACAGCATCAGCTACAGCAAGGCCAGGTGAGAAATATGGGTGGGGGTGCTCTGGGTGAGATTCGGCAGCGATGAGGATTTCGGCTCCCTGCTCTGTTCTCAGCTCTCTTTGTTTTCTGTCAGGCTCACCGGGGCTTGTCTGTGGACCATGTGTTGGATGATGTGCTGGTTGGGAGGGTCTAGGTGATCCAGGAACCAGAGAGAACCTTTAGTGAAGTGTCTGTACCTGGTGAGGAGGGGATAAAAACCTGAAGAGGAATTCAGAGGAAACGTGATGACCTAAGTGCCTGTCTGCATTTCTCCCCCCGGATTTTCAGTCATTATTAAGAATCCAAGTGAAAGACTCATAAGGCTCAAACTCGGGGTCGGTGGATGGTCAGAGCCCTGCATGTGATGTCCCCTTGCCAGGCCCCACTTAGAGATGTCTGGCAGCCTCTCAAATCCGTCCTCCATGAGCTGTCTTCTGAGCTGAGTGTCTGCTGGATCACTCCCAGCCTGCACCTTTCTCAGCTTCCCGTCAAGTGCCCTCATGCTAGCTGGGCTCTCCTTCCCCATAATATGGAGGACTGGTAGATATCCCTTGACCATTTGAGGAGAGGAGACCAGTCAGTCCTCAGGCAACTGGGGTCACTGATTTTATCCTATCTCCAGGTTTTTCCTACCTCGCCCCTTGGGACACAGTCCAAGGGCTCTTTAGAGCAGGGCACTCGGTCTGCGCTCCGTGGCCTCACCTGCCCCCCTGAGTCAGTTCCCTTGCTCATGGAGGTCACTGCCTTGTCAATTTTGAGGAAGGGATGATCACTTTGATTTCCCCATCATTGAGTGGGTTGAGTGGAGAGGGAAAGAAAAGCAAGAGTTTTGTGTGTGGCAAAGCGCAAAGGCAGAACGTGGAACAGGAAAAAGGTGGCAGAGACTCGGCTCCTTTCGAGGCCACCTCTTCTGTGTCATTTGCCTTGTTGGGAGCATGGCTTCTTATCCCCAAACCTAATTCTCTTATCAGTCAGCCTTTGGCCTGGGCATACAGGATGGTTAGTTCTCACAGCAGCAGACTGTCCGTGTAGCACCCAGATCAGGGACCCAGCAGATCTGTAGTTTCTCCTGTTCTTCTCTGGGGAACATCAATTCTGGTTCTTCTGGGGCATAAATGGTTGTCTTGTATGTATTGGGGCATTTGCCGGGAAAACTGTGAAAATCATCTCAAAATCACTTTTGAAGTTTTTAGTGTTCAATAAAATTGTTTATGATTTCAGGTGGCAAACCTTAATAGGATTTCCATGCATATTAAATGAAATAGGAATTCAAATGGGACGCTCCTGATGGGAGGTGGAGGGTGGGATGGCAGCCCCAGGGTGCAGAGGGGGCCAGGTACAGCCTCATTCTGGGGAAATTCTCCAGAACCCCAATCCACATTGAAAAGCAGATCCCCTGCAGGTAGTGAGGGCGGGTCCTGGTTGACTCCCTGGCTGTGCAAGGCAGGAGGGCCTGCTCTGCCTCAGCCCAGCCCAGCACTTGGAGTGGAGCTGGGATTCCCAGGAAGGAGCAGGAAAGGCCAAGTGCAGCCTAGGAGCCTGGGCAGAGAGTGAGGGTTGGGGCGAGGACAGGGGTGCCCCAGGGTCCAGTCAGGGGGAGAGTCCGGGGCAGCCCAGTGTTTGTAGTCGGGGCTGCTGTCCCCTGGGCCTCCAGATGGGCTTTCCAGTTCAGAGCTGCTGGCTCAGGGCTGGGGGCGAGGGGGAGGGGAGCTGCAGGAGGTGGCGGTCAGGGCTGAGGTGGAACTGGGCGGTGGAGCAGGTACTTGTGTGGGTGAGAAGGCCAAGAAATGAGGAGAGAAAGGAGCTGTGTGTGCGTACACTCCCGGGCTGGAGGAACATGGAGCTGGGTCCTGTCTGTGAGGGAGCCTTGCATTGCGTTAGCGAATGGATCTGGGTTCAAGGCAGAAGGGCCTTGGGTTTTCACTCCTGGATCTTGTCCTTGTGTCCTGTGACTTCTGTCCCTGTCGCGGACGGTTATGGCAGCAGGGACAGGTGATGACGCTGATGGAGTCAGGGGAGGAGTTCAGCAAGAGCTGGGGAAAAGAACGCAAAAAAAGAACAGGTGTGTTCTTCCCTCAGAGGAAGGCAGAATCTGACTGTGAAGCAACTGAAGGAGAATCTCTGAGGGAATGAAAAGCATTATTCTGCAACCAGTTGGTCAGTTATTTATTTCTTTTTCTTTTCCCCAGAGCCTATTAGCTTACAAGACCAGGATCAATTCCAGATGGAGCCAACTGATCATAATGGCCTCACACACCCAGAATTTCAATCCTTGTGTCAAACTCTGGATCCATCAGTTCAACTGGGGAAGCTTAGAACGTGCAGCCAGAAGGCCTGAATTCAGCTCCCTGTCCTGGTCTTACTAATGTTAGGGGAAGCACACTGACTGAAACTGCCCACCCTGGCCAGGCACCATCGTAACCATTTGCATGAGTTGTTTTACAACAGGAGGTCCTGGTAAGCAACACGGAACTAATAAGCCACCCCCAACCAGAAGAGTTCAGGAAAGGTCAAAAGGAGACACCACATGTCCAACCACCTCCCAGAATCCTCTCTGGCATCCATCTTGGCTGAATAAGGTGTGCACAACCAGGAAGGACTCTGAGTCAGAAGGATTGGCTAAAGACAACCCGGAAACTAATCCCATCACCATAAAACCCAAGACTTTGAGCCACATGGCAGAGCTGTTCTCCTGGTTTCCCTTACCCTACTGCTCTCCACCCTGGTCCCCTTTCCCAGTAAAATTTCTTGTTTTGTCAGCAAATGTGTCTCCTGGACAGTTCATTTCCGAGTGTTAGACAAGAGCCCAGTTTCGGGCCTTGGAAGGGGTCCCCCTTCCTGCAACAAATGAGGACTCTGGTGGGACTCTTCTTCACTGTGACTGACATCCTGACCACTCGGGGTACTCAGGGGCCAGCTTGCCTGCCAAAGGACCAGACCCAGCGACCGCAACTGGGACCCTTTTGTCCCTGGTCTCCTCCTGACGCGGACAACTGGCCAGAGTGCCCCAACCAGTAAGGGACAAGAGGTTTTATTGACCTCTCTCATCTTTTCTCTCCTTAACCCTTCCTATCCTTCCCCTCTTTTCTAGTCCCCTGGTCCTGAACACAGGAATCTGGTCAAAGGGCTTCAGCCTGAGCTGAGGATTGGAGACTGATCACCTCCTCTTGGCAGAGAACTCGAATTCTGGTTCTGTTTTGGTCTGGTTTCTGGTAGGGCCAAGTTCCAGTTCTCCCTTCTCTGGAGGCCCAGGGTAATGTCCTATAATACCTGGGTATCTGCAGGTGGCAGGAGACGTCTGTAAGGTCACCCCTTTTGCCTCCCTCTCCTGCCTTCTCCCCCTTCTTCTTTCAACCTGGCTTCCTTTCCTCCCTTTGAAATGTTTGAAGACCTGAGATATTTTCATTTACTCTGTTAGTACTTGGATCTGAAATTCTGTGTCTCTATAGGAGATTTTCTGAGAGACTGTATTCTTGTATTTAAGGGAGTGTCTGATGAGGACTGCCAGGTCTATATGTGTGTTTTAACTCTGTGTTCTGTGTTGTGATTTTTGACAGCCATTTTGCTTTGTCTGGCTACCATCTGGTTTAGACCTGCTGCCATTTTGTTAGTACTTGATTTTCTTTCCCTGTTCCTTGAGACCAGGGCTCTCAGGAACACTTATCTAGACCATCTCTATCTCCTGACACTGAGGGAAAATGTGAAAAAGCCTGTAAAAATTTTATTTATTCCAAGTTTTTTATGAACTAGTAAATTTTATATTGTAATATCTAATTCATGACTAGGCTTAGAAAATGAAGCTAGATCTTGCCTTGTGTCTGTCTAAATATGTCTTGGTATGTCTTTGTCTTTGGATAATATTGTTGAGATTAACTTGTAAATGAGCTCTATTTAATTGCCTTAAAGAAAGGTAAGCGCTTACAAATCAAATAATTCTAAATAAAACAATAAATTCCAGGTTCATGTGAACCTGGTAATTCCAGGTAATTCCTGGTAATTCCAGGTAAATGTTCAGTATTAAATATCTGATATTAATGTTTGTTTGTTGACCTATCTAATATAGGCATATCTTAGAGTAATTAACATTAAGTAGAATATTTTCATTGTACCTAGGTTTAATATAAGCTAAATATTATCATATCTGTTACAAGTTTGTCAATAAGGCAATTACCTCGAGTGAAGAAATTTCTAAAAAAATGTAAATGAGATATGAGCTTTTAGATAAGCTCTATTAAGAATAATTATGCTTTAGGAATATCGGTCTAAAATAGTCTCTCTAGATTGGGGTAACTTGAATTTCTAAGGGTTGTGCTAAACTAAGTGTTAGAAATCTGTTGAATAGTTAGGTCATTTCCAAAAAAATAAGATTTTGAAACATTTACTACTAAACACTGATGTCCTTTTACAGAAAAACTAAAGAGATTTGGGACTATAAATTAATAACATGTGGTGCCATCCTAAAATGTTTTAAGAAAGCAAGGGTTTTCAAAATTATCACTGGTATTTATGCTCACCAATCTATAAAATGCTAATATAAAAGTTAGTTCTTGGTTGCTAAAGGAAAGTAGGAAGTGTGTTTTCAGTTAAAAAAAAAGATACGAAAAAATACTAAAAAGAGTTATGCATGATCAGAATTTTTTAAAAATTGGATTACAATTAGTTAGATAAATGAATTTTGTTAGAAATGACACAGCTATAGGAAAACTGGTTAGCGCCAACTAGGTCAATATGGCAGAGTTGACTTTCACTAGACCTTGAGCCTCGGTATTTATGCCCATTGTGACACGTCAACAAGCTAAATGATACACTCATCAACATTGACTAAATCTTGCCAAATGTTCTAAACCTTTTTAATTGATTTTTTTGACAAAACTTCCTAAATCGAATTCTTTTGAAGTTTTTTTGACCTCTGGCTAACTTTGGGGTGCTTCAGCTGCTGCTGCTGCTAAGTCACGTCAGTCATGTCCGACTATGTGAGACCCCATAGATGGCAGCCCATCAGGCTCCCATCCCTGGGATTCTCCAGGCAAGAATACTGGAGTGGGTTGCCATTTCCTTCTCCAGTGCATGAAAGTGAAAAGTGAAAGTGAAGTCGCTCAGTTGTGTCTGACTCTTCGAGACCCCATGGACTGTAGCCTACCAGGCTCCTCCATCATGGGATTTCCCAGGCAAGAGTACTGGAGTGGGTTGCCATTGCCTTCTCTGGGGGTGCTTCACAAGGCCCCTGAAATATCCCAAAGAGAGATATTAAACTAATTGTGTTTATTTGGTTGGTTAAATTACATGAAAAATCTTATCAAATAAATCCTCTCATGTTATCATGTGTGGTAAAATTACTAATATAGATATCCTAGAAATTATATGGAGTTCTTAACATTCTGATATGTCCTGGTATTCTAATGGAAAACCTAATGACTTCACAGAAGTTAACAAAAGGACTGAATGAACCAGTGAATATGCTTATAACTTTTATGATTTCTATCTGAAAAATTAGAGGTTTGAATCTTGTGTTTTCCAGGAGTAGGGAAAACCTTCCTCTCAAACTAATTATGACAATAATTTGGTAAAATTCTATGTTATAAAGTGAAAGTGAAGTCGTTCAGTCGTGTCCCACTCTTCGCAACCCCATGGTCTGCAGCCTACCAGGCTCCTCCTTCCATGGGATTTTCCAGGCAAGAGTACTGGAGTGGGTTGCCATTGCCTTCTCCTATACATTATAAACAAAACAATTATATTTTCTTTCTATCTGACTCCTCCAGAAATTGGAAACTCTTAGGTTTCCAGTTAAGTTTATCAAATGAATTAGAAACTTTAACTCACTAACAGGTATAAAATCTCAAGGAATTTTTGAGACCTTAAAAAGAGAAGAATTCACCTAGATTTATTAGGCGAAATCTGTGATAAGCCTTTGGTGTGAGTTTCCCAGCACTGTTTTCTTTTAAAAGTTCAGTCTGAGACTCTAAATGTTTCAGCAAAAGAAAAAGTCTATGATCAATTATGGTTATATAAATAACCAGACAAAAATTAGTGAGAACAGACCTATTTTGCAAACAAACTAGTCTTAATTTGGTTATATTTGATAAAAATGAGGGTAATTTTAGGGAGAAAAAGATGTTTCAATAATGTTAAATCCCAGTTTGTTAATGGAGGTCTGTGTCTAGTAAGACTCATTTCTTGGATAGTTCTTTGCTGTTATGTGATATTAATGTAAAATTTAATAGAATTCTTAAAGAACATCCTAGGTTTGTTTCTGAAGCTTATCTCCAAAATCTATCTTTGGATGAAGATCAGATGCCTCATGACCTGCAACCAGGACCGGAAAAAGACATAATTTAAGGGACTGTCTCCAACCTAGATGGAAGGACTTTTTTTTATCAGGTATTCTTAACTAGCTCATGCACAATGAAACTGAAGGCCACTCTACTGGATTGGTCTATAGAGAAGACAGCTGGCCTGATCGCACCTTAAAATGATGCTCAAACAGAGGAGAAACTACACTACACCAGAATGAGAAAATGATGACATCAGAGGTAGAGAGCTTGCCCAAGATGTTGGACCTGATTTGTATGATCATTTATAATGTTTTCTTGACTTCTTATACCTTTGCATATAAATCAAATGCTTTTCTATCAAAAGCTTGATCCCATGGTAGTTTTAGAAATCAATCCAATTGTTGGGTTTGTGCCAATTACCTGTGTCTAGTTCTGGGTTATCTTAGTAAATTTCTCTACTACAAGGCTCTAACTGGTTGGCCCTAAGAAAATTTACTTAAAAAAAAATTATAGTCATATTCAGGTCACTATTGATATTACTAGATGGGATCACCTCACCTGGCCAATTAATAATGCCTGCTCTGACTCTGGCCATGAATTTGAGTTTTCTTCTATTATTCAAGTTCAGTCAGAGCAACAAACAAAGTTTCAGCAAAGGAAAAAACCTCCCACAGTTATGGGATGGATTTATAAAGATAACACCAGGCTATGGTAATTTAGGTTTAAAGTCTCCTCTATGTTGGAAACAATTAAATCACACTAAAGATAATCAGTCTAGTAACACTAGAAAACTGGGCTATGTGCCTATAGACAGTGCCAATATATAATTTGCCTGGAAGATAAAGATTCGTACAGAGTAGACTAAGTCAGATGACCTGGGATATACTGGGCTACATCTAATGCAAGCTCTTAAGTTTTACTTATGAATTTACTAATACTGCTTGGTATGTTATTTGTATTTCACCTGTTTTACAAAATTGCTGTTTCTTACACTGCCAAATGTGTGACTGAAGCCTCTGATAAAATAATATATAGTTCCATATGAGAATGATGATGGTTACAGTGTAACTCTAGATATGGGAAGAAGCAATAAGAGTGAATATTCTCCTGGACCAAGAGGATAGTAAGACAGGTGGTCCAGATAATTTTGGATACTGTTTTATGGCCTAG